TCCAAGTCTCTGCATGTGATGATTCAAATGACAGTGACTTATAAGAAGGCCTGTTAGACATCGTAGTTCATCCCTACTGTAGTCCAACAACTCTTTTTAATCAAGCTTCGAAGGGTGAAAAACGCCTTGGAGTGAGTCAATCCTGGAAGATTCTGCCAGAAGTCCATAACTCTCCTTGCCATCCAGGTGTTAAGCAAAGCCCAATGCGATGCCAATGACAGGTTCTGGTCCAATGAAGCCGCTTGCAGCACCCTCCTCTGCAAGAGAGTCAGCAGCTTCATTGCCTTCCAGGTCAGTATGGCTAGGAATCCAGACCAGAGACAATCTGTTTAGTCTTCCTATCGAGGGAGAGTCTTTTTTGGTAGTTTGCTACCAATTTAGACGTTGCTCGGTGGGAGCCAAGAGCTTCCAACACCGCTTGACTGTCTGAGAATATTTTTATTGACTTGTGAGTGAGGTAGGATTTATCCAATCTCCCCGCACACAATTCATTAGCTTAAATTTCCGCTCGAAATACAGTCTCATAACTTCCTAGGCAGGTAGATAACTCTGTCCTGAGTCTGCGACTGAAAACACCTGCACCCAAACCGGAAGGTGTTTTTGATCCATCTGTGAACCAACAACTATCTGCTCCTAATATTTCCTTCTTCCGCAGGATCCAGTCCTCTCTACTCGGGAATAGTACTTCATAAGGCAGTTCGTAGTTGACAGTTGGAGACATAAAGTCAGAGGTCATTTCCAAAATGCTGTGACTTCCACCAGTCTGTTGCACTCTGCATTGGATTGATTGCATTGTGAATTTTCAATGTGCACAAGTCTGTATGCAGTCCATCTAGCCTTTTTTTCCAGAAAAATGTGGAGAGGAGGTAGATCTAGATCTTCATGCCAACTGACGGTGTGGTACTGATAGCACCACTGATGGCCAGACAAGTCTGTCTCTGTAAGCCAGAGAGCTTCGCTTGGGCCGTTTTCTGTAAAGCCTTCAGCCACCAAGCAATTGCACCATACATGATCATTGGTCTGACAATCATCACATAAATCCGATGGATTTGTTTGGGACCTAAACCCCAAGTTTTACCACAAATCCTTCGACATGTCCATGAGACAGTCTGGCTTTGTGTAAAACTTTTTCCAAAAGAGCGTTCCAGGTGAGTCTTTTATCAAGGACAATGCCAAGATTCGGTGAGGTATACTCGTTATCACTTTCAGGATCTGCTTTTTCCACGTTTTTCAATACAAACTATGTATTTTGAAACACATTGAGTTTAATGATAAAGTTTGACATTTGAGAAAATATTTTGAAGAAAATTCTCAATGCTCACTTACGATTGAAAATAATTAAAATATAAGAACTATAAATTATTTATTTGCGTATTTGTAACTGGCCTCGAGGTAGTGAGTTATGAATCTAGTAGGTACAGCAAGACCTACAAGATTGGTTGAATTGGACAAATGTTTTCTATTTTGGGGAACTAGAACCATTTTTGTTCAGATCAAGAATAGCTGTGATTGTTTTTAAAATATTCGTCAAAAATTTGAATTGTCGAATTTCTTTGTTTGGCTCTACCGCCTCCATTTTGAATGATATATAGAAGGCAGAGCAACTTTCATAGTCAACTTTTGTAAACGGACCGATATTTTTTGGGTCTACAACTCAAAGATATTCATAAACTTCACATATCGAAAGAACATGTAATATACCAAGTAGCAAACAGAAAAAAATATGTCAAATACATCGTTCCTTAAACACATATTTCTTCTTGAAATAATATTTTTATGGCAATTTTCCAGCATTTGTGAATTTATAGCCTGGGGGATCCACTCCAGGGAAAACTCATCCCGTCACATACAGTTAACTTTGAACTGGAGAAAAAGTAAAATCTAAGTCCCAATTTTTATGAACATCGATACGGTTTGTTGAAATTATACAGGAGAAAAGTCATTGATTGAACTAGTAAATTATTCCAAGAGAATAAAATGTTAAGTACATATAGGTATGTACCTATTGTCTCAACAAACAATATTAATTGTTGGTCAAGAATGAAAGCAGCTTCAAATCGTTTCTGAGTAATTTATTTCATGAACAAATCAAAATTACTAGCACTTGGGTGATGTACCTAATACATTTACGGATTGTTCAATACAAATCACGAAATTATAAAACAAGAACCAAAATTGATTGGCACTCCGGGGCGACTTCATTGATTCAAGTGGCGCATTTGATTTTTCAGCTGCAGGAAAATCCGGAAAAACCTGCAGCAACACATTATCTGAAGATCTTGATCTGCCAATATTCTTCTTTTTATAAAACAAAATGTAGTGTGTCTCCAGAGGCTTCAATGTATTCAATTCATCGCTAGAACACTTAGTGACACGACTATCGTCAAACTTAAACCAGTCCGTTTCGTGTAATAATGACCAGATTCAACGGCAAAACCTCAGTGAACAATGATATAAATAATGAACTGAAAACTAAAAAATAATTTGAAAGGTTCTAGATAGCAGTCATCACACCACTCTGTTCAGCAATCTACGGTGTTGATCAGATAAAAGAATAATAAAATCGTTGGATGTAGTTTAACCTGAGTAAATATGTAAATACTACGCCCAACGATTTTATTATTTTTTCAACTGATCAATACCGTGGATTGCTGAGGTGAGTGGTGTGATGACTACTACCTAGGATCTTCAGAATTATTTTTAGTACATTATCTACATCACTATTTCCTTTTATTTCAATAGAACCGTTTGATATATTTTTTTTACTTACTTTAGTTTCTAATTTTGTTATTCAACTCTTCTCATTCTGTTCAGTTCATTCAGTACCTCAGTATTACAAGGTAATATGTAATCCGTTATTTTGTAGCTGCGGTCATCTTGAGTTTGGATCTATTTTTTTAAGGATCAAACACAAGCACTACAGGAAAATTCCTAAGACGCTCTAAGAGCGGTGCCTGTGCGAGAGTAGTAATTCACATTGGATTTGAATGGCTGAAGATTAAATCCACTTGGAAAAACGTTTTCAGGAAGTTTATTCCACATAAACGCACTTCTACAGATGAAAGAGTTCTTGAACAGTGAAGTTCGAGGTGTATTGAGTTGAACCTCAAAACGATAACCAGCCATAGTTTGTTGCGTGTTTCTGATATTTCAAAGTGTACTACTATTGTACTAAAGCCGTGTCATTTGATAACTATATTGAGATAGTTGTGAAAAAATATGTATTCCGCCATTTTGTAGCTGCGGCCATCTTGGAGTTACAATGATATAAAATGTATTGAATTTTATTGTCATCAAAACTGAATGTGTGTACGAAACTTCAGATCAAGTGGTCAACAAGAAGGGGGTCAAACTCTAAAATGTGAAAATGATTACGAGTTAATGTGTTAAATGTATTATACAAAACAATACTTAATGAAAATGAACCCTATTCATTTTGAATATCGATATGCCGTGCTGCGATACTATGCATAATGTTTATTAGTCCGCGATTCTTTGGGTATTTATAGGTTATTCGAAAATCTAGAATAATTTAGCAAAGTAATTCATTGTATGGCTTAGTATATGACCCATTATATATAATTGGAAATCATCTGCGTAGCCCGTGGGTTGGGCTACCTATTGAGCGCGTCCCTAGATAATAATAATAATAATAATAAAGGTCTTTATTATTTTCAAATAATATACATATAGATTTCAACATTGTATGCAAAAAAAAAATAAAAACATTTCTGAAAATGAAGGGCGAAGTTCATTTTCTGCAGACAAACGATAGTTTTACTACGAAAATGTTCTTCCAAATGGCGGATAGGGGAACGGCCAGGGGACTGGACGCCCTGTCCGGGAAGCCAATGTGTCCTTACGGACGGGGTCGCCGGACTCCTGGTCAGTGGCAGAAATAAGTAGGGTGAGGGGAACTTAAACTCCCCACCGGCAAAACATGCCACCGTGAACCAGCCTACCCAAGCTAAGGTGTAAGGAATCGTGCCGACAGCTGAGTGGCCGCAGGGTGATATGCGGTCACGAACGATCCCCTTGGGGAACTGGGCGGGACCTCATTGTAATCAGTCTACCTCTGGTAATGCGGGGCTCTGCCAGAGGTGACCAACTCTTCCCTGCTACTCGTGAGAACACACCTGAATGAAACAACAGAAACAACAAAAATCAATCCCAAGGCTAGACAGAAGTGCTCACCTCAATCTGAGGCGGTGGCTGGGGATGAACAGAAATGACCACCCCAATCTACCGCTTGGAATGAGGCTGGACATAGCAGATCACCTCCAATAGCAAGGGTCACTTCCTGTGGCGGGAGCCAAGAGCTCCGCCTTGAATAAAGGCAAGGAACCGACTACCCCTGCAGAAAAGCTCTCTCACTTGTGTATCTCCACGGAGGGAACCCTAAGGAAATTGAAGAAGCACTGTGCAACGACTGGAATATCATTGCACTTTCCAAAACCTTCGCGAAGGCCACCGTGAGACACCTCAAGGTTGCCAAACAGAGTGTGTGTTCGGCCTACACCTGCCAATATAAACGAGATATCTTCTAGTGACCTGTTTACCTTCCTGGAAAGGACAGGATGGACGATGACCTAGGAGGATAATTCTTCGGGAGGATGTACAATGGGTCACATGTGGTCACATGTGCTGTGTGTCTACACTCAGCTTCCCTTCTCTACAGATACCAGAGTGATAGATCATCTGCGTAGATATGTGGGGAAGATTTTATGTCAGGGCACTCAACCCCGTGGGGGTAGATGTGTGCTTGAGAACTTGGCAGGCAGGCAAGGTAATCAAGGATGAGAATTAAAAACAGTAAGAGCCCCAGAATGCATCCTTGTGAAACACTCGACGTCGTCTCTTCGATTGATAAATACAGTAATAGGTAAAAACATTTTTCAAAAATTTTCCCTGAGTGGATTTCAAACGAAAATATCATAAATAATGATTCTGTAACATTTTCCCATCGGAAACAAGCAATTGATAAAGTCCACAATACTCACATTTCCAGTTCGTCTCCTTTACCCATAACACTTCTGACTGGAACGTATATGATGGTCGTCACCAAGGGAATTCCCCAGCCTATTATCATCATACCGGTTAGGAGATTGTTTTGGGAAATGAATGCCCACACGAGGACTGTATGCAGGTAGAGTCCTTCGCATAACATCCATGAATAATTTGAAATCAGGCAAGTGTAGAGTATCGTGTGGAGAGCAATACACCACGGCTGAAAAAATAATGAAGTACAGAAAAAATAGTGAGGACTCGGAAGGTATGAAAAAATTATACTGAAGTTCGATGGAAAATACCCTTTAACACTTCGACAATGATCTACTTTTATGAAAGGTATTTTCCAATAACATGCATTTTTGGGTTTATTCTGATAAAAATCTTCATATAGGTTAGGTTAGATAAAAATTGAGTGGGTTTATTGGACCCTATACCGCAACCCGTATAGGTTTATTGTGGCTCACACTGATTCAAACTAGACCAAATAAACCGAGCTACTTAACGAAGTCGATGTATGGTGAGTGATCTTCCAGGTCAGATGGTGAAAGTGTGGCTCCGCCAAACTCTGAAAACCTGATTAGGTCCGCAGTGGGGCAGATACAAAGTATATAATTTTCCAAACAGAGGCGACACACAATGTGTTTCGACAGTGGGTGTCCAACGACTATTCGGTTTCAAGTTCCGAAAGGTGGAAGACTTTGACAGAAGTCTTTAAATCTTCTTGTCATCCAGGTGTTTAATGTTCGTTTGGCAAAACCTGAAGCTATGCCAATGATAGTTTCTGGTCTGATGAAGCTGCTTGCAGCACCTTCCGTTGCAAGCTTCATTGCCTTCCAGGCTAGTGTGGCCAAGAATCCAGACCAGAGACAATATGTTAAGTTTATTGAGAAGGGTTGTTTTTGGCAAATTTCTACTAATTCAGACGTTGCTCGGTAGGAACCAAGAGCTTCCAACGCCGCTTGACTGTCCAAGAAAGTTTTCATAGACTTGTGTATAAGGTTGGATTCTACCAATCTCTCCGCACATGATCCAAAATAAAACATTTCCACTTGAAATACAGTCGCATAGGTCCCTAGGCAGGTTTATATCTCTGTCCTGGGTCTGCAACTGAAAAAAACTGCACCAGAGCCTGAAGGTGTTTTGTACCTGATCTTGATATTTCCTTCTCTCGTACGATCCGTGTTAGGAATCACACGTTAAAAGGTAAGACCTCGTTAGTCCTTAGCTCGCACAAGTTTCTCAACTTCTGAGAGTTGTCGTTCGTATGGGGGCGGCAGCTGATTAACGGAAAAACAGATTTTTTTTTTAAACAGATCCAGTCATCTCTACTTGGGAAAAGTACTGTATAAGGCAAATCATGGTTGACAGTTGGAGGCATAAGGTCAAAGGTCATTCCCAGAATGCTGTGACTTCCAGTGTCAACCAGCAGTCTACTCTGCATTAGATTTGTGCAATTGACGATGTACACAAGTCTATACGGAATATTCATCTATACGCAATCTTCAACTTTTGAACACGATATTAGGATTATGAGAAAAATTATAATAGCTTTTGTAGGTATATGACTATGTTTTTGTTGTAAAAGGTACTATTCTTTTTTCACTTTTCACTTGACACAATTATGAACGCTTATTGAACGAAAATGATTAATTTCACTGCTGCTTAAGAAGTTGCTATTTCCGTTCATTTTTTACTAGTCTCCTGAAAACAGTTATGCAGTGTGATGAGCAGTTAATTTTTTTTTAATTTTTCCGTGTTCGATCAAAGAACTCAATGAATCAAAAAGTAAAACTACAAAGTTGATTCTGATTCATTGTTTGAATCTATAAACTATGGAATAACTTTCATCACCTGAATACCTGAACCATGAAGAGCGTGTAGAAAATGAGCTAGCTCTCTGCCAATATACTTTAAGACAGAAATAAACTTCATTTTCTCCAACTGAGATCATGTTTGTGTCGACGTTCTCAATCCGTTTCCGAATCGGATGAAAGGTTTTATTATTCACTTTGAATTGAAAGAAGCTGGGAATGATTCGAATTCTCCTTGAAAATGAAAAATCTGGAATTGTGGAATATTTTCTGAACGAACTAAAATTGATTTTTACAAAAATGAATACATTTTTATTACTATTAGGATTCGATCACATTTTTTGAAATCACAAATCAAAATTACAACCTGGAAAACATTGTATATGGAAAATATCGGTCACATGATGGTTCTCTGAGACTTCAGAAGGTAGACCAAAATGGTTCTACTGAAATAAGTTTGTAATTAGATGATCATATAAATGATTTCTAAATAATGTAGGTTGTTTCAATATCATGTATTTTTGTAGCTCCATATCTCGATGAATATTTATTTTGTACTGTTTTGTAATATATATTTTGTACTCTATACATTGATGCTGTTTTTTTAAATTCGTTTAGCTCATTACTATACGATAAGTTTGAGCGATTTTTGGTAAACTTCTCTCTATGAGTTCAAATTGAATCAAAACGCTGACAAAACAGCACAAAAAATTAAACAGAAATTTGGCAATATAATTGTTAATAAACGGTATGTTCGATGGTGGTTTGCAAAATTATATTCCCAAGATTTGAGTCTCGAAGATGAGCCCCAAAGTGGTCGATCTACAGTAATCCTGGTGGAGACTGACCCATCACAAAGAGTGCGTGGGGTTGTGGAACAACTGAGTGTCAGCTCTCATGTGGTTTTTGATGGTTTGAAACGTATTGGAAAGTCCAGAAAGCTCGAAAAATGAGTCCCTACGTTTTGAACGATTGCCAGAAACTGTCACGTTTCGATGTCTGTTCTTAATTGCTTTTGCGGAACCCAAATTATCCTTTTTTGGATCGGATTGTCACGTATGATGAAAAGTGGATCCTCTACGACAACAGGAGTCATTCAGGTCAAATGGTTGGACACCGATGGACTACAAAGGCACTTCCCAAAGCGAAAACCCACCAAAAAAAATCATGGCAAATGTATGGCCGTCAACGACTGGTGTGATTCAATATGACTTTCTGCAATACTTTGTGAATTATAGCCTATTTTATTCTGATGTATAAACTGTATTTATGTGAAGTTTAAACTGACTCCGTTCAGTCGTTTACGCGTAAAAGAGCCACAAACATACATCCATCCTCACCAACTTTCACATTTATAATAGTATAAATATCTTCCAGCTGATGAAAGTATATATGTTTTTCAATCAATGAAAATTTGTACTTATGCTTATGATCTAAACATATTAGAAAAAAAATGTACTTTTTCAATATTTTCGCAAACAGAAAAAAAATAAATAATTGAAGTTGAAAGTCATCAATAATTCAATGAGGCTATTTCAAACACATAAGTACTCAAGACATCAATTCTAGAAGGCAAGATCAAATTATCTCAAAGAACAATTCGTTCAGGCCAGTCTCAACTCACATACACTGTAGGTTAATGGACTGACACCTATCAGAAAACAACTACTCTCCTGGCTAATACCACAAAGTGCGCTGGATTATATCCGACAGGTATCAGTAGTAATTCCTGCATATGCTTTTGGCGATACTGCCTGAATCCATTTTCAATTATTGGAACACACTTGCAGGTTGGTTTCGGGCTATTTGGCCACTCGTCAGTGCAAGGTAGTCTCCATTATCAACATAAAGTCGATGGCTTGCCATGATTAAAAATCGAATTCCTCGACTAGGCTGAAGCGAACGACAAATAACATATTTGTTATCGCTCCGTCAGCCCGTGAACGAGGTAACCAACCGCATATCCGAATCGCCCAATTTCTCGTATGAGGAAAAAACTTCACATATATTAAGGGGGCATACTTGAAGACTGGCTTCCAGGAAAAAATTCTAATAATCGACGGCCTTCAAACTAGAAAAAAATAATGGTGACACTGAAAACCTTATCCGCGAAAGCCATTTTCTTAGGTATAATTTAATCTTTCTTTTGGTTTTCCAGCCTTCCAATAGTTGACAGAATATGAAAGACCCATAAAAATAGGAAGAAATATCAATAAATATCTTCTTAAAAAACATGATGATATTTCACATATAAGTTGGAAGAGGAAGTGGCGTCAAATTATAACGAATCGAAGATTCGAGATATATAACAGAGAGATAACTACGTACATCAAGCTCAGTGCATGGAAAAATCAATATTAATTTTCTATCACAATGAATGAATTTCATGGCGAAGTCTGATGATATTAAAGCATTTTATGATCAATCCAGTCGCTGGCAGTGAAATTACCCGAACAGTGTTCAGCGGAAAATAATTTACTGGCAGTGAAACATGCGTGCCATAAATATGCAATCTGTTTCAACGCCAGTGATGATAAAGTTTCATATGAAAATATTTACCCTTGTTTTTTACAAATATTACTGTTCAAAGACATTCCAAAAATTTAATATCAGAACTGCTTCGAGGATTGACACAAATGTATTACATATGAAGAGAACTACTTCGGAGGGGACGAAAAAGAATTGATGAATAAATTAATATTCTTGAGAAAAATGAACATTTCTATTAGTGCTTGGTTTAATGCAAACCTAGCTGTGTTATGGTTGGAAGTTACACAAATTTTTGCGGCCATTTCAAAAAGCAGGAATCGATTAAATGGAGATCTTCTGTTTCTACCAGACTTGAGAAATTCCATATTCACAATTCTTTTGAAAAGTTCTGGCTTCACTTTTGGAATTGCCAAAGAGCAGTCGTGATTGATTTTCTGGAGGAAGGTGAAACAATAACTGTAAAATACTATTTGACCTTACTAACCACTCTACGAGAAAAAATCACTAGAAACCACAATGCCAAGAATTACTTTTCGACAACGCCTAGTCAGGCAAATTTTTAAACAGCTCAATATTAACAAGGCGTCTGGTCCTGATGAAGTGCGTCAACGTACATAAAAAGGGCACGAATGAGCTCTCAGCAGTATTTTGCAGGAAGGGGTTTTTCCTTCTCCTTGGAAGATTACTCGCGTTCAGCATATTCCCAAAAAGGGCAAGAAAAGTCTTCCAAATAACTATAGACCAGTCGCTTTGCTATCAATGATATCAAAAATCATGGAGAAAGCCGTAAACCGCCATATCCTTAAATATTTGGAAGGCTGCAACATCTTGAGTGATCATCGATATGGCTTTCGGAAACAAATATCAGCAGGAAACCTTTTATTATATGTCACCTATATTTGGAATAACGCAATCG